TCTACCACAGAGATCAACAAGGGTAACAGGAGCGAACTAAAAACACACATAAAGTCACGACCGAACGGCTCGCACGTGGCCGCTTCCGCCGCGACGGCAGGGGCGTCGACAAGGGAGATGGGACGAACAACAAATGCTCCGAGATACGCGCGAACAGACGCACGTATACACATGCATTAATGAGGGCACACACACACACACAGAGAGAGAGAGAGCCATGAAAAGACGACCGGTTCTAATGGAATATTCCCTCCTTGGCTTCTTTCTTTCTTTCCTTCCTTTTTTTTTTGGTTCCGTTCATTTCGTTTTTTTAATTTTAAGTTGTTATTCACTGCGTTCTTGTTTGGTGTTGAAAACTGAAACATATCTGCCTCGTCGAGAGCGCACAATGAGCCACACAGACACACACACACACACATATCTATATCTATCCATCCATATATACACACACACACACATATATATATATATATATAGATAGATATAGATATGGATGGATAGATAGATAGATAGATATGTATATACACATACACACATACAAACAGAGAGACAGACAGACGGCCTCTACCGACACGGCGTGCAGTTTAAACGTCGTGCGTGACGAAGAGCAGTAGAGAGAGAGGGAGAGAGAGAGACGCGACAGGTCTCTACTGGTAAGCGTAGCGTTGTGCTGTGGCATCTCAGAAACCTCCCCGTTTCGTCCCCCGCCTCCCCTGCCGCCCCCGCAGCGGCTCTTCAGGGGGGAATGGAGAAGAAAACAAAACGGCATACGAAGCCGAAACAAACAAACACATAAAAATCAACAAGAGAGAGAGACAGTGGGAGAAAAACCAGAAACAAAACGAAAAAAAAAAAAAAAAAAAAAAAAACAACAACACGGACAAAGTGTGCGGGGGCTTGTGGCGGAACACAGGAGAGACGAAGCCCCCACAAAGGAAAGACATAAACACACACACACACACACGAAAGCAGGGGCATATGTACACACACGCGGGCAGCACCAAACAACACAATGGAACGAAACAGACAACAAAAAAAAAAGGAACGGAACCTCAGTACAATGGCACATAAGAATGATAGGTCAAGGTCGGAAACGCAGCCTCAGCAGCAATAGGATGGGGGAAGGAAAGTGATAAGTGAGCAATACGGGGCGAGAAAGAATGACGGAAAGCAGAAAAAGCCGGAACCCCCCCCNGGGGGGGGGCAAGTTGCCGCTGGTGGTCGCGCGCCCCTCCAAAGCCCCAGCACTTTTCTTCCTCCTTTATGTTGGCCATTTGCTCTCTCTCTCTCTCTCTCTCTCTCTGCGTGTGTGTGTGTGTGTGCACCCGCAGGAGTGTTGCTGCCCAGCAGCGCAGCGACGACGCAAGGCGAAAGGGGGGAACAGCAGCAACGAAGAAAACGAAGATGAATTCAAAACAACAAAACATTTTTCCCAATAGCGGTGGGGGAAGGGCACAAAGCGCACCTCCCACGAACACGTACGGGTGACAACCAACAGCCAACAACACCACCAGCAGCAGCAAATACAGAGAGCAAAACAAACAAGCAAACAACAAAAATAATAATAAAAGGAGCACCTCAAGCTGAAAGCAAACGTAAAGAGCAGCGAAAGAAAAGGAGGTTAGAGACACCACATTAACCAAGAGTTAAAAAGAGATAAAAGAAAGAAGCAGCAGCCACAACACAACAAGAACCACCACTGTCACACAAAACCCAAAAATAAAATAGAAAAAAACAAAAACAAAAGGCCAGTGATAGGTTGCGAAGGGCCCGCACACATTGTCCCTTACCGCCACACCCTTCACGTACAACAATCTTCGTCCCTCTCTCTCTCTCTCGCCCCCACTGTGTGGGAATGGGGAAGTGCCGCACGGCAATACACAACCAACTGCACAGTAAGAGCCGTGCCATTCCCACATACCCGTCTACACCTGCGTTCATTCCTCGTCCTCGCAGGCCCACACACGCTCCCCCTCGCTATATATATATATATATATATGTATCCTTCTCTCTCTCTCTCACACACACAGACACATTCTCACTCTCTCCGTGCTCCTTACTGTCGTATTTAAGCCAAGGTTTACATGCGTCCGCGTGCTGTGTGGGGAATGGCCCCGGCGTACCCGCGGACGGGGCGCCAAGATTTGTGTGGGATCCCACCACCACCACAGCAGCATCTGAAGAAATAAAACAGAAGCCACGACAATAAAGAACGCACATACAGAGACAGAGAGATAACCAGATGCCCAGCAGCTACTGTCACCTACAGGTCCGAGAGACAATGGAAGACACAGCGTACACATACGATACATGAACGGAGAAATAAATACATGGGGGAACACACACACCCTATCCATGTGAAGCAAAAGGAGAGAGAGAGAGAGAGGGCGTGCACCAACTAAAAAAAAATTACACATATATACACCCATAAAATTAAACATGATACTTCTCCCGTTACTATCTCCTAAACACCCGGTGAAGCACTGCAACTGCTTTGTTCTATCCCTTCACGCACACAGATCCATAAAGGGTAGTCCGCAACTACTCGGAGACGTATGAGCGTGGGTCTCGCGTGTGGCGCCATAGAGTCCCCCCTTCTCTTCCAACCTCCTCCTCCGTCTCCTCTTACACGTACAGAGAGGGAGAAGTGAGCAGGGACCCGAAGATCATTATATATATATATATATATAATGTACACAGGGTCGTACTATTCACCCAAAGAGTCTCCTAAAAGCATTCACGAACCTCGATGGTCTGGCAGCACCGTAGCCATGTGCCATATTCTGCATCATGAGGAGGGGCTGCCGATCACGCAGCGGTGAAACGACTGGTGAGTCAACGCGCTTCGTGTGCACGAGCCCGGCAACCCACGCCTCCTGCGATGGATCTCGCTGCCGCCGCCGCCGGTGCTCGCGGTCTCCACCCGGCTTGTTCCTGCCATTCCTCGTCCGCGTTGGCTCCACAGAGTTCGGCTGCGGGCCGCGCGCCACCACTGGCCGCCCGGTGACTGGGGATATGATACAGTTCCCCGGCCGGCGCCCGGAAGCCGGCCCCGAACCGGGCGGTGCAGGCGGTGGTCGCATGCCGTCTACGCCTGGCTGCATACCGTTTGCACCTGGTCGCATGCCGTCTACGCCTGGCTGGATGCCGTTTGTGCCTGGTCGCATGCCGTCTACGCCTGGCCACATGCCGTTTGCACCTGGTCGCATGCCGTCTACGCCTGGCCAAATGCCGTTTGTACCTGGTCGCATGCCGTTCACACCACCGCGCATCATTCCACCATTGTACACCTGGCCGTTGGCAAGCGGCGGAATGCCCCGCGGCGGCACAGAGGTATCGTGCGACTGCGGGCGTATCTTGTTGGGCGGCCGCGGCACAATCGGCAACTGTATGTATGTGCTATTTAGCGTGATATCCGCTGTGGCGCTCTGATTCTGCACCGCGCTTGGTGGCATGCAACGTACGTTCTGGTAATGAGCCGTTTTCACGCCACCACCGTTCACTCCATTCGCAAAGCCCGCTCGTGGGTCTACGGGGCCGCGACCGTTCTGCACCTTCACTGCACCGTGTGGGGGTGCGTGGTGAGGGGGAATGGGAGCGGCACCCAACATATGTGGCCGCTCGCACATGCGTCCAGGGAGCGCCATGGGAATGGGGCTACAGGCCAAGGACGAAAAAAGAGCAATACACAAACAAAACCACCACACACAATACACAACAACAAGGGTCTCTCTTATTATCGCGCTGTTGTGGTTTTTGTTTTTGCTTGTGTTTTCCTACTGCCGCTTCTGGCGATACTCTTTTGCGTACGTATGTATGCACAGGAGTGCCGGTGACCGTGTGCGACTCTGAATTGGAGCGAGGAGAAGAGGGACCGCACCAGATCTCTGTGCGATAGGTGGCTTATATATATATATATATATATATATATGGCCTTATTACGATGTCAATGTGTACGCCGGGCACACTTGTGCACGTAGGGGAACACGAATCTCACACAATACGACAAGAGAGAAAGCGCTGTGTGTTCTTTCACGCCCACTCCCCCCC